ATATATATATATATATATATATATATACATGTACAGCTAGGCAACCCCCGAAAGGGAGCAATACATCAACAAAAACGAACAGCAAAGCACTAAGGAATTAATAAGCAAGTATCTATAAATCTAAGCCCACGACGTAAACATTTAGAAAAGGCGCACAGTTTCCAGAGAAAAAAATGTGGGATGAGTAAGACTTAAGACCCCCTAATCCAGAGTTCCCTCCCCTCACAGTTTAAAAGCCCGTAGCATCGCTGTTCCTCGAGCCAGGGTATATGAGGCCTCGAGAGAAGAGCAACATTTTAACCCGAACCAAACAACCTCCTTTGAATGTACATATATACTGTGGCTGAAAAGCAGCAGCAAAGCAAAAGCTCATGCTGGGGTAGGCTTTGTGAAGACGTAGTGGGAATGGTGTTGTTCACCAAGGGGCTTGATAAGCCCTTGACTGTGAAGCTCTCGAATGCCCCTGCGTGCCAGAGATGCGTTGATGCGCAGCCGTTCGCAGATTGTGTACGGAGTCACCAACTTCATCTTCGGCACCTCTGCCATGAACTTATCTAAAGTTGCCTGATCAAACATTACCGCGTAGTTTAGCTTGTCCTTGCTCTTCCCCTTGGACCACTTCTGCAGTCGTTCACACACACGCACACACACAAACACCCTAAACCCTAAGGCTGAACCTTAACTCATACACCCTAAATACACACACTGCAGCTCTGATTTCGATGTTGCTCGTAAGCAGGCTGACTATGGGAGACACGCCTGAGTATAGTGGACCTATCAAAAGCTAGGAAAAGAGAGGTCCCTCATCGTTATTCAAAGTTAGTCGAATATATGACAGTAAATGCACAATACTCACCTTCTTGTTTTTCTTGCTGCCTGCGGCGGCAGCCGCGGCAATCTGCTCTTTGGTCTTCTTTTCCTTCGGCGCCATCCTGCTGAAAGAACGCACAGACGACCCGCAAGTGACGAAAAATAAAGCCCAAGAAGTTAAAAAACAGATATGAAGGCATGTCCTAAGGCATATGATCGTTCTACACAACAGGAAGTGGGGCCAACGCTGTCTGAGGGAACGGTGGTAGGGAGGAGGATCCCAACCCCGTGAAATGCATCAAAAAACAACACAAGGTGTTATTAAGCGAAAGAAAAACAAGAAACAAGCCCGTGAGTATCTTGAAAACAACAAACTGCCCACTCTGTCGGTGGCCCCACTGCAACCCTAAACAAAAAATCGCTGGCACCCCACTGGCGCATCTGTGATTTCAAAGGCTCACTCTCGATTATCCACTAATTGGTAATCAAAAAGGAAAAGATATCAAACAGGAGCAGACATGAGAGTAGGCAAAAGTGGTACCCACCCACTCGCGGATGCGACGGAACCAACTGCGCCCCGCAAGAACACGGCAGCTGGAACAAACAGCCCTGTGCTCACCTGATGTAGTACTCGTGCGAAACAATAGTACTCTAGTTGAACCTCTAGAGGCCTATTCGGCAGAAAGATCGCAAATAATATACTATTTAAAATGAATCAAGTGCCATTAGACAGCAGATAAGGCTATCAGGCAAAGAGTGCTCTCCAGCTACCCAGGATCTGGGGCTGGCTGTCAGACTGCCGCCGTAGCCGAGTGCCAATTGCATACCCTGCAGTAAGTAAGTACTTCTTTGATCTCTTAGTTTGAATAAGGTAATGGATGGACACTATATATTCCTCTATAAGTATATATGGCAATGCCCACGCTGGGCCCTTGCGGTCACCGTGGGGATTATTATTAGTAAAAATACCTATGGATCCTTCCGAAGGCGGATTGGACCCAGGATAAGAATGTGAGACTCTTCACTGGCATTTTAAGGTCATTTTAATTAAGGGTTATGCGCCGAGTGCAGCTTCTATATATCGAGCCTGCACCTCAGTAAATATGCTTGTGACCAATATGTAGTGGCAGCCGAGAGAACTGTTCACACCAGCAGAGGCATTTTGGGCATGCCGAACTTGGGTAATCTGAGGGGTGAAGGGATGCTTTTATGCAGCTGCAACAGTGCTTTCTGAGCGGCAAACGGCCTTATCTTCAACTCGTAGCACATCAGCGTCTATCATCTGGACTCCACAGAGGGTCAGGTTGTAGTGGAGAGACGCTAGGCTTATTGCAGTTCAACTCATTCACTGCATGCAGACGGTGTTTCCCTCTTTCTGTGTATTTGCATTGGGCGTCCAGCGGGTTGCCGGCCCGCTGACAGCTCTTTGTTACTCGATTCAGCCCAAGAGTCTTCCACTCAACCGTGCTTCCTTGCCGTACTTCCGATTTTAAGTGGATTGAATCCCACAATCCTGCGTTCTGCGCGCGACCACCACGCCGGACTGTATGCATTTCGCGATCGTTTCATGCGGCACTCCTGCAATGCATAGGAGCCTAGCCGTTCCTTTCTCCTTAGGGCACTGATTCCGCTCCCGTTACAGTAGAAGATGCAGATGCCACAGGGGCACTGAGAGGGGCACTCTCTCCGTGCTTCCATAAGTATACACTGCAACGCTTTTTTCTGTGGGTCTCACGTGAACTCAACGTCAAACCGCCCACGCCATGCGTGGGGCTTCAATGTGGTGAACTGCTCCAAGCTAGAGGTGCGCGCATAGCTGGGAAAGCTTTCCTGTCTCTCTGCACCGCTGCAGTTGATAATGAAATTCGGCTGTTGTTTGCCGTAGCACGGGAAAAGCCAAAATTTAGAACACTATGAATGAATGGTCCAACATAAGAGTACCGCATCGTGGTAGTATGATTGATTCATGAATTAAGCGTGCATTATCCTAGTCTTATTTCCTATCTGCATCTGTGAAGCGTAGACGCTGCGCAAAAGAATGGACACTTAAGCTGCGAATCCTTGCCGTAGCTTCAAATGTATTAGCAGCCGACAGCGCTGCTCACTGCACCCGGCGCCTGCACAGTGAGCATGTGCTCAAACTGTAACTCAGCCCTGAAGTACCTAGAATATTTTTGAAAAAGAAAGCAGATGATATTGCATCCTGCTGAACATTTCCAAGGCGCATACAACAAGATGCCATACACTCTTTGCTTTGAATGGAAACGCAACGCAGGCAGCTGTTTAGAGCCCCGTCAGTGGGGGCCTTCATAGCGACAGAAGAAGACCATCACTTAAGTATTCGGCACGTAAAATCATTTTCGCAACCAGTTATACTATTTACAATTTGTTTGACATTTCCTCCAATGAGTTGTCCCACTGGAAATTCTTGATTGACAAGTTTTCCACTGGTTTTGCCGTTCTGAAGAACCGGTTGGACGATTTCTAACACGAGTTCTCAGCCTTAACCAAGGACTGTCGTGTGGCACAGCACTGGCAAAACACTACGCCTTGATGGTCACGTGGTGAACACGTATGTCGAGCTGCCCAGGTTCTCTGGCATACTCGCTTGCCTTTCTCTTTATAAAGGCCAGCGTTGATTAGAGTATATACTGGTACATAGTTTGTCATCGCGTCAATTACGCCTAATTCTGAACAGAGGTGTGTGCTGTTGCACAGCAATTTGGCGGCGATTTTCCGGCATAGGCTGCAAAGCATATGTTACAGCGCTTAGGGTTTAGGGGTTTTATGGTTTAGGGTTTAGGGTTTAGGGTTTAGGGTTTAGGGTTTAGGGTTTAGGGGTTTAGGGTTTAGGGTTTCAGGGTTTCAGGGTTTCAGGGTTTTAGGGTTTAAGGTCTAAGGCTTAGGGTTTTAGGGTTTAGGGTATTGGTTTTAGGGATGAGGCTGTAGGGTATAGGGTTTAGGGCTTTTAGGGTTTAGGGTATAGGGTTTAGGGATTTTATGGTTTAGTGTTTTAGGGTATAGGCTTTAGGGTTTGGGGTTTAGGGTTTAGGGTTTTAGGGTTTAGAGTTTTAGGGTTTAGGGTTTTAGGGTTTAGGGTTTAGGGTTTAGGGTTTCAGGGTTTCAGGGTTTTAGGGTTTAGGGTTTAAGGCTCAGGGTTTTAGGGTTTAGGATTAGGGTTTTAGGGTTTAGGGTTTCAGGGTTTCAGGGTTTCAGGGTTTTAGGGTTTAAGGTCTAAGGCTTAGGGTTTTAGGGTTTAGGGTATTGGTTTTAGAGTTTAGGGTTTAGGGTTTGGGGTTTAGGGTTTCAGGGTTTTAGGGCTTAGGGTATTGGGTTTAGGGTTTAGGGTTTAGGGTTTAGGGTTTAGGGTTTAGGGTTTTAGGGTTTAGGTTTTAAGGTTTAGGGTTTTAGGGTATTGGGTTTAGGGTTTGGGGTTGAGGGTTTAGGGTTTTAGGGTTTAGGGTTTAGGGTATAGGGTTTAAGGGTTGAGGGTTTTAGGGTTTAAGTTTTAGGGTTTAGGTTTCCAGGGTTTAGGGTTTCAGAGTTTTAGGGTTTAGTGTTTAAGGTTTAGGGTTTTAGGGTATTGGGTTTAGGGTTTAGGGTTTAGGGTTTAGGGTTTAGGGTATAGGGTTTTAGGGTTGAGGGTTTTAGGGTTTAGGTTTAGGGTTTAGGTTTTCTGGGTTTAGTGCTTTAGGGTTTATGGTTTAGGGTCTAGGGTTTAGGGTTTGGTGTTTAGGGTTTTAGGGTTCTAGGGTTGACGGTTTAGGGCTTTAGGGTTTGAGGGTTTAGAGTTTAGGGGTTTAGGGTTTTAGGGTTTTAGGGTTTTAGGGTTTAGGGCTGAGGGTTTAGGGTTTTAGGGTTTAGGGTTTAGGGTTTTATGGTTTTAGGGTTTAGGGTTTAGGGCTGAGGGGTTTTAGGGTTTAGGCTCTTAGGGTTCATGGTTTTAGGGTTTAGGGTTTTAGGGTTGAGGCTTTAGCCAATGAATGCCACGGATGGCGTAC